ATTTTATTTCTGACATATTATTTGTTGTGTATAGTATTTGTTCTGTTTTTAAATAAAAATGAATGAATTTACTTTTTAAAAAAGTTGTTTTTAAGTTCAAACTAATAAAAATGTGTCTCTAATATCATCAGCACCGTCTCAAAACCACACTAGCACATTCACATCAATACTCTTTCCATATTTTTCTCCGTTCACTTTCCTTTTTGAACCAGTCAGTCTATCAAATGATCAACGATGATCAATGATGATTCTATGGTCAAGAGATTAAAATTATATTCAAATCAAATTTAGACTTTATTTACGGTCATCACAAACACAAACATGCATTTTTCTTTACTCAACTTCATAAACAAGTCACGTCATTATAAACTAGTTTACACTTATTGTCCACTTGATGGCGCAGTGGAGCAAATGAAGCCTGACGATGCTTCAACTGGTGGACCAGTTGGATGGAAAGCTTCATCTCACCATCAGTACCTCCCTGACTCGTCCTCACTCTGTCTTCTTACCTCTCAGGTGTTCTGTTTTAGTGAAACTCCAGACAAAACGTCTTTGTTTGACAGACTCAGTGCTCTTTAAGTTTGTTACAGGTACAGGTAGGTACAGGTGAAGGTGCAGACACTGAGTGTTTGAAGACTCCTATCACACATCAGGTGTTCTGCTTGTGGCTTTGGACAGTTCACTCCAGGAACTAAACTCATCCACCTCCAGAAACTCTGCTCTTCTCAGCTTCACTGCTCCTCCTGTCTCCCTCTCATTCCTCCACCTGCTCCCTACTCTCACTACAGATGTTCCCTGCAGCGGCCATCACAGTCCATGTGGACTCCAGCCTGACCTGTAGCAGGTAGTAAAGCAGAGACGGAGTCTTCTGGATGCATCTAAAGCCAGCTGTTTTTGTACAAGCTAACAGAGTTAGCAGCTAATCATTGATGTTCTGAAGGAATAAAACTAAAGTGATGGAGGAGTTTGTTCTGCAGGCAGATAATCTGTAAGGAGGATATTTTCACTTCATCTCTGTTGAACTTTAAGGTTAGTTTGAAAACTCCAAGCGGAGGTTTTGTTCGGACACCTCCTCTGTCTCTGCTGTCTTTAAATGTTTCAGATGTTTACATTTACTCCTGAAATGAAGGAAACTTGGAATTTTATGTACTTTTGTCCCGTTGCATCCTGGGATTCCTGGTCTGCCGATCGGTCCTTCCTGTCCAGGGATACCCTGCAAAATACAGGAAGAAAGTTTCTGACAGTGGTCTACTTTCTGACAATCTGAGGAAAATAATCAGATATATCATTTATAACACTTGATGCTCTCCTCAGACTTTAGTTTAGGTCTTTTTTAGGCTCAAGAAGCATGAATTTATTTCAGTTTATTGTTTAATAAAAAAAGAAAAGAACAGCTCTGAGCTGACTAGCTGCCTTCTCAAACAAGTCCAGTTGTCAGAAATGACCTGTTAGGAGAACCGAGTCCTGGTCGGCTCAGAAACTAAACCAGCTCAGGTACTCACCGGCACACCTGCAGTTCCTGGAAAACCTGGTGTTCCTGGAAGTCCCTGGAGATAAATGAGACTAATTAGATGAAACTTTTGAAGATGGATGAATGACAAACAGTAACAGAGAATTCAGCATTTTTAAACGATGAGTTTTCCTTTAATGGTTTAAAAAAAACAAAGAAAAGAAAAATAAAATCAGGTTTTAAAATTCTACAAAAGACAAAGTTACCAAGAAAACAGGCTGGGAGCTACCTGAGATCCTTTCACTCCTGGAGGTCCTCTTCTTTCCTGATTTCCCTGAAACACAAAGAAAAAATCATTTCAGTTCAGTTTATTTATATAAAGTATCTCCAAGTCCCAACAYACGTTGTCTCAGGACCCTGTAGATAAAAAGAACAATGTAAAGAAGAAAGCAGCAGATTGTGTTGAATCACTTCATCACAGTCTCCCATCCTGAGCAAACGGTGGAGAGGAAAAAATAAATCAGATCCACCATCCATCCATCCATCCATCCATCCATCCATCCATCCATCCATCCATCCATCCATTCATCCATCCATCCATCCATCCATCCATCCATCCATCCATCCATTCATCCATCCATTCATCCACTGTACTTTAATATGACCAAGAAGAAGAAGAAGAAGAAGAAGAAGAAGAAGAGACTGAGACCTTTTCTCCAGGTGGTCCTGGATTCCCCTCGATTCCAGGGTATCCAGTCACTCCAGGCATTCCAGGGTAACCAGCACTTCCAGGTTCTCCCTGAAGACAAAAAGGAGCAGAGATGAAGTTCTTCCTCTGCCCACCAGGRGGCAGCAGCAGAGTGCAGCGTGTCTGAGCTCAGGTGGGCCTCAGGTGTAGCTTCAGTCCTCCTGGTTGTTTCCTGCTGTGTTTAGGTTAGAATAGAACAATAAATAGAACAGAATAGAACAGCAGGACGTTTCATGTTCAGTCGAGAGAAACCAGCCTTTTCTTTTCTGTCAGCTGCTGGCACAGTGTTCACACCTGGGTGGTCTCTGATGCCACACCTGAGCCTCTGTAGTCTGCAGCAGCAACAAGGACCACCAGATTCTTCCCTGCAAATGAACTGAAGATACAGAAATTCCTCCTGCTCTGAAAGAAGGAAGCTTCAGAACCGTTTGGACTCAAACGTTTTAAATCTTGTTTTTTCTGCGTCGGAGTCAGACCAGGGCAGAAACAGAACCCGCAGCTCAACTCAGACCCATCATATCCAGACCAACCCTCATCAGAAGACATCATACCACCGCAGAAAGAGACAAGTTAAGACAGTTGTCTTCCATCGTCTCCAGCTTCCAGATAATGATATGAAACATAAGATTTCATCTGTAGAAGATTCAGTCCTGATGGAGAGAGTGAGATATTTCCTCAGACAAATCAAACATCTGGGAACAAAACCCAACAGGTCAGGGCAGAACCAGACATCTGGTTTTACAGAAGAAAGATAAAAACCAAGTGTTGTCTGGTGTCTCCATTGTTATCTGAGCACTGCACTGTCTGACCTTTGGGGTGAATTCACTGACACTCATGGGAAGATTGTCAGCTGTCTCAAAAACTCTCTCTCTGATGGAGTCCAGAAAGTTTGGATATTGACCTTTGACCCTTTCCAGACTGAGGGGCACCTGCTGCTTCTCTGAGGTCATTGCTGATGTCTTTCTGCCCTGGCGTTGTGTTAACACACCTGTTTGATCCTGAGCAGAAAAAAACTCCTGCTTTTCCTGTGGTCCTCCCACTTTGCCAAGGACGTGTTTTTTTAAAGAATTCAACAAATGAGAAATATTTAGAATAACAGTGCGGTTCATTAAAAATATCTAAAAGTGACCAGATATCCTTAAATCTGAGTGAAAATTGTTTCATATCACAGAATATATATATATATAATTTATTTCTTGATTGAAAAAATCTGTGTTGTGATGATTTCAGTTCATTTTCCAGTAAAATACAAAACATGCAGATCAGACAAAGATCTTCTCACCTTTTGACCTTTGACCCCATCACAGTGACAGAGAGACTTCCCGGTGCAGTGGCACACCTGCAGACAGAAAGAGGAACCAAAACATATTTAAACAAACAAGACATGACACCCAGATGTCAGGTTCCTCAGGGAACTCTCTGGTCTCTGATTTTTGGTCTTTAGTCTCTAGTCTCTGGTCTTGGATCTTAAGTCTCTGGTCTTGGATCTTAAGACTCTGGTCTTGGATCTTAAGACTCTGGTCTTTGGTCTCAAATCTCTGGTCTTTGGTCTTAAGCCTTTGGTCTTTGGTCTTAAGCCTCTGGTCTTTGGTCTCAAATCTCTGGCCTTTGGTCTTAAGTCTCTGGTCTCTGTTCTTTAGTGGGTCTTTATTCACAGATCTCTGGTCTTTGGTTTCAAGTCTCTGGTCTTGGATATTAAGTCTCTGGTCTTTGGTCTTAAGCCTCTGGTCTTTGGTCTTAAGACTTGGGTCTTCAGTCTCTGCTCTTTGGTCTCAGGTCTTTAGTCTTAAGACTCTGGTCTTAAGTCTCTGGCATTTGGTCTCTGGTCTTTGGTCTTTAGTCTCTGGTCTATGGTCTTAAGTTTCTGCTCTTTGGTCTTAAGACTCTGGTATTTGGTCTCTGGTCTTTGGTCTTTAGTCTCTGGTCTATGGTCTTAAGTTTCTGCTCTTTGGTCTTAAGACTCTGGTATTTGGTCTCTAGTCTTTGGTCTCTGCTCTTTGGTCCATCAATAGGCAAGGTGGGTAAAGTGTCTTGCCCAAGGACACAATGACTGAGACAGCTGGAACAGGGAATCAAACCGGCAACCCTCCGGTTTCAGGACGACGTACAGTGCTGCCGTTTTTAAAGACGTTCTGAACAGATTTTCAGAATCGTTCAGGTCATTCTGGTGTCACATTTTGTGACCTGACACAAACAGAAAATGAAACTTCAAACAGAGAACAGAAGCTGTTTTCTAGTGATGATGTCATACTGTGACAGCCTATCATCATCCAACACTTTGTTCCACCAATCACAGCTCAGCACACTCACGTGGGTCAGAGGTGTTCAGTCCCAGACARGTTGTTGTTTTGAGTTGTTTGCTGAWGATTTGATTCTCCTCTCAGACTCAAACCTTCTAATCTGCAGCTGAAATCAAAGATTACAGATATCCTTCACCTGAGCATGCTGTATGTTCTGCTGTTATCTATCTGTCCCAAACCCAAACACACCTGGATCTCTCAGGTGTAACTATCCTTGACAGACCCAGCACCACCTGGAGACAGACTGCTAAAAATCTGATTTTATTTTATCAGAAACAATCTGAACACAGCCTTTCTTCAGTTTCTTTCTAACCTCAGTTCATCCAGTCCACATGTCACTTCCTGTTGGGCAGAGGGACCGGTCTGATCTGGTCCACATTTGGACTGGTGACAGGTCTGACATGTGTGAAACCAGAGCAGGTAGGTGGAGTTATCAAASTGATCAGTTCTGATGAATAATGTGAATGATGTCATTAAAGAATCACCTGCTGACTGACCAAACCAATCCAAGATGGCCGCCAGAGCTAAGTGACCTCAGCAAACACAAACCTGTGTAAAGTTAGATGCTCAGGTCCAGTCTGGTCTGGTCCAGTCTGGTCTGGTCCAGGTGTGGTCCAGTCTGGTGTGGTCCAGTCTGGTCTGGTCCAGGTGTGGTCCAGTCTGGTCTGGTCCAGTCTGGTCTGGTCCAGTCTGGTGTGGTCCAGGTGTGGTCCAGTCTGGTTTGGTCCAGTCTGGTCTGGTCCAGTCTGGTGTGGTCCAGTCTGGTCTGGTCCAGTCTGGTGTGGTCCAGTCTGGTGTGGTCCAGGTGTGGTCCAGTCTGGTTTGGTCCAGTCTGGTGTGGTCCAGTCTGGTGTGGTCCAGGTGTGGTCCAGTCTGGTGTGGTCCAGTCTGGTCTGGTCCAGGTGTGGTCCAGTCTGGTCTGGTCCAGTCTGGTCTGGTCCAGTCTGGTGTGGTCCAGGTGTGGTCCAGTCTGGTCTGGTCCAGGTGTGGTCCAGTTTGGTCTGGTCCAGTCTGGTCTGGTCCAGTCTGGTGTGGTCCAGGTGTGGTCCAGTCTGGTGTGGTCTAGTTGTGGTCCAGTCTGATCTGGTCCAGTCTGGTCTGGTCCAGTCTGGTGTGGTCCAGGTGTGGTCCAGTCTGGTTTGGTCCAGTCTGGTGTGGTCCAGGTGTGGTCCAGTCTGGTCAGGTCCAGTCTGGTCTGGTTCAGGTGTGGTCCAGTCTGGTCAGGTCCAGTCTGGTGTGGTCCAGTCTGATCTGGTCCAGTCTGGTCAGGTCCAGTCTGGTCTGGTCCAGGTGTGGTCCAGTCTGGTCTGGTCCAGTCTGGTCTGGTCCAGTCTGGTGTGGTCCAGGTGTGGTCCAGTCTGGTTTGGTCCAGTCTGGTGTGGTCCAGGTGTGGTCCAGTCTGGTCAGGTCCAGTCTGGTCTGGTTCAGGTGTGGTCCAGTCTGGTCAGGTCCAGTCTGGTGTGGTCCAGTCTGATCTGGTCCAGTCTGGTCAGGTCCAGTCTGGTCTGGTCCAGGTGTGGTCCAGTCTGGTCTGGTTCAGGTGTGGTCCAGTCTGGTCAGGTCTGGTCTGGTGTGGTCCAGTCTGGTCAGGTCTGGTCTGGTGTGGTCCAGTCTGGTCAGGTCAGGTCTGGTCTGGTCCAGTCTGGTCCGGTCCAGTCTAGTCTAGTCTAGTCTGGTCCAGTTCTGGTCCAGGTCTGGTCTGGTCAGGTCTGGTCTGGTCCAGGTCAGGTCTGGTCTGGTCTGGTCAGGTCTGGTCTGGTCTGGTCTGGTCTGGTCTGGTCTGGTCCAGGTGTGGTCCAGTCTGGTGTGGTCCAGGTGTGGTCCAGTCTGGTGTGGTCCAGTCTGGTCTAGTCTGGTCCAGGTCTGGTCTGGTCTGGTCAGGTCTGGTCTGGTCTGGTCTGGTCTGGTCTGGTCTGGTCCAGGTGTGGTCCAGTCTGGTGTGGTCCAGGTGTGGTCCAGTCTGGTGTGGTCCAGTCTGGTCTAGTCTGGTCCAGGTCTGGTCTGGTCTGGTCAGGTCTG